ATGGTGGGGAAGAGGTGGGGCGGCGTGGGAAGAGCGGCTCCGTACAACACCCGGCTGGGATGGGTGGCGAGTGGTGTCACCCGACAAGTCCGATGAGATTACGCTCTCTCTGCAAGGCATTGGTAATGTTTGGTGCTATCTATTCTGATTTCCTTCGCCGTGCAAGTACACAATGACCAGCGTTGTGATAACTGCCAACTGGTGCGTGTTAACTGGCAACCGGTTCGTGCTATGATAACTAGCAATCAGTACACGCTATGGTAACTGGCAACCGGCGCATGGCTGTCAACTGTTGCAATGAAATGCGTCATTTTAATATGTTAGGTTGAAACGTTGAAAAATACCATCGAAAAATAATTTTCCTTCTAAATCTAGGTTGAAACGTTAAAAAAATACCATAAAATACCTTTTCTTCTTAACCTTGATGGCAAGAGTATAAAATCCGCGGTGCAACAAAAATATTACAACCCAACAACTTAAAAACACACGATTTTTGTGAGTTTTGTCTCCGCCAATTACACTATGAAGTAGACGTTGGCTGTGACGCAGAGGCGGCGTATCCAAAGTTAGGATGGGGGGGGGGGGGCAGAGACTTCACGAAGGGCCCAAAACCGATGGCCCCTTATCTTTCAGAGCAGGTGCGCAGCCAGAGCCTTGCCAACAGGGGCGGCGTGTTTGTATTTGGGAGCGGGTCGGCAAAGACTTTTCGAAGGGCCCTCAAGCCGGTAGGGCCCCATATTTCAGTACAGGCGCGCAACCGGAGTCTTGGGAAGGGAGGGGAGGGGTTAACAAAGGGCCCACTGAGAAGAAAAGCTCCCCGAACCAAAAATCCCCACATGTGACCCATTTATTAATCAGGGCATGTTTCCTATATTTTCCTTCTTACCTTCTGTAACTGGAATGGAAACTAGAAGCTGCCGCGAGATCAACTCTGCCTGAATATTTTGCCAATCAACGGAAGAAATCAAGCGTTAAAGGACTGCATGAAATAAGTCACCAGCGCCTTTCCTTTTACAGTGGTTTGGTAGGGTTTTTTCTAAACTGATAGAGCTTAGAAGTTCACTAGAATCTTATCTATGCTGTACAGAGATACCAAGGACCCTGCGAATGTAGACTGAAATGGGTCAACAATTTGTATTAACATGGCGGCCATGTCTGCGTAAAAATTTTAGCATTCAGTCAGAATTGATTAGTCATACAAATTGCATAACGTAGTTTTGAGCATGCGCGCTCGCAGATCTTAGCAAAAACCTCGACGCCAGACATTGCAGTCTCCTCAGTCAGCGCAGCTTCGGCCCCGCGGCTTACGCTAAGCCGTTGCCAACGGATGGATGAAAGTAATGACCCATTTGACAGAGGTGTCTTTGAAAGCTTTTGGACTTCAAGCCGTACCTTTAGAAGGTGACTGTTGGGATGCAATGTATCTGCATCACTTTCCTTGATACAGGGAAAGTGATGCAGGGGTTTGGTAGCCCGTTGTTTTGTTTATTTTGTGTGGCAGCACAGAAATACAGATGCCGTCAAGACTCCGAGTCGCGCGCGTGTGGGGTTTGAAACATAAAGCATCAATCGTATTTGTCGGTAGCGGGTCGAAGCCGCGTGACATTCGCCCGCGCGGACATGTGACATGGCGCAGTCGGCAGGACACGATCCTGCGATGGAAAAACTCCATTACGGCGGCACAGCATCCGCCGGGCGCCGAGCCCGCAGCAGCGCGCGTGGCGGCGGCGGAGGCGGCTGCGGCGGCGCCGCCGCCGCAGGCGCCGCCAGCGGTTTTTACAGCCCCGTGCAGGCCGCCGCGGAGGAACACAAGACGTCCACAGTTCATGTGCTGACATAGCTGGTCATGCAGCAACAGCAGATGACCGAGCTAATGACGCGACTCATGTCACCGGGATAGCCACGGCGCAGCCAGCGAGCCAGGTGAATCAACGCGCCACAATGCCAGCCAGCGGTGGTCCGCCGCGCCAGCGATCGACTGTTTCTGCTTGCGCCGCGGCTACCGTCCTCTGCATCCTGCGGGACTTTGGAGCACGGCGCTACTAACCGATTCCAGGAGTTCCGCGTCTCCGAGCGCCTGTCGGAGCTGCCGCCCGCCGAGCAGCGGGCTACGCTGCTGACATCACTGGACGACGAGTGGCTGATAGTCGTGCGTTTCAGTCTGCCCATATCCACGACCGAGGAGGGCATTAATGTGATTATCACCGCAATGCTCGCGCATCTGCGGCGGCAGCGAAATCCTGTGCTGGACCGCGGGGATTTCGATACCCGAGTACATGAGCGCGGAGAGGCGGTGGACGAATATCTGTGCACCCTCCGTGAGAACGCTGCGTTTTGTGATTTGTGCCTAGCCTGCTACCACGATCGTTTGCGCGACCGGCTGGTGGTCGGCACGAACGACGAGGAGGCTCGCCGCCGCATGCTGGAGGCGCCCGACCTGACGTCGCGCAAGGCCGTCAACGTATTGCGGGCGTCGAAAAATGCAGCGAACAGCAGCACGGCGATAGGCGGCTCGACGGCGGTTTCAAAAGTCTCGAGCTACCGGCGGTCGCGCAGCCGAGCGGTCAGCCCCGGCAGCCGCAGCCCTAGCGTCTCGAGCACAGACGGCCGGGCCGGGCCGACATGTCGGAAGTGCGGTGCGCGGCCCCATGCCGACGGTGCAACGTGCCCGGCGGCGTCCCGGAGATGCCATTCCTGCGGTCAAGTGGGGCACTTCACCGCTGTGTGTCGCACTGGGGCCGGCCGTGACGGCGGCCCGTCGACATCGACGCGTGGCCGTGCAAGGTCGACGGGCGGTCGCCGGCCGAAGTCGCTGGTGGCGCACGCTCAAGTGAGCTCGGAGTGAGAGCCGTCAATCTGACGCACGGAACACGTAGCTGACGTGCTGCAACGAGGACACATGTCTCTACTTGAATATGACACATGAAACACATATGACACAATATAACACATGTCCCTACTCTATATGCTCCCCCTTGAATATGAGACTGGACAAGAGGCCTATCAGTGAGGAGGCCCCGTTTTGTCCAGGGTAACCTCTCGAAACCCTACCCTTTCCCCCCTCACCCCAGCTCAAAGCCCGTGGTGCCGTCCCTGCTCAAGCGCACGGGTGAACCTGATCGGTAATAGCGGTCCAATTTTGCACAGCAATCACGTACATGCCACACATCATTTCCTATTGAAACGAATCGGTATGACATGAATTTTAGAAGATAGGGCTAGATGTACCTTAGTAAAAATAACCTCCCTATACGCCACTACTGATGATGAGCTATATGATTTATGACGTATACGTGTGGAGCATAAATTCTGCCAACGGCGGTTGGCTGGGAACGTCCTTCAAACTAAACGGCGCTTGACATTCCGTAAATACGTTAATTCTTTATTGCAAGGTAAGGGTAAACGCCTTGGGATTGTGGGCCCAAAGATCCGGTGTTCTAAATCCGAGGAAATTACTGCAACCAGAATAACCGCTAAGTTTGGCACAGATGGCATACCTTCATTGTCTATTCTTCGGCAAAGCCAACTTCGGTCCCGGGACATTTGAAGTCACTGAGCTCAGACATCGTTTCGAAGGACGAGTAGGGTGAAGTTTGTTCCCGATGGACGAGGGAATTGCTGCTGATTGGTGATGGCATTGACAAAGCAGGGAGAGACTTAAAAAGAAAACTTCAATACAATCTCAATGTTTATTTAAGGCCAGTAACCTATGCGTAACTTCTGATTGGAATGCCTCCGGCAAGAATCCGTGCGGACGGGGTTATCGCAAGGATCCACACCTCAAACGGGTCCAAGACAGCAGCACTTATATAGCGCATATAATATGTCAGTCAGCAGTTTCGTGACGGCGTTTTTCGGAGTGTGCCGTATTACATTTTTGTGTGTTCTAACGAGCAACATAAAGTTCGGCAACGATCGCGCGTTCCTTTTGTCGCGTTTACTGTCGACGCGAAGGCCCCACAATTGCTGAGAGGAGCATAGGGTATGTATCCCCTGCCCCCTCTGCATGCCTCTGGTTTCTAGGCAGGCGTTTAAATTAATCTACTCCTAAGAGCCAAGGGCAATGCCGTGTCTATTTTGCCACAAAACTGAGCACTTTTGTGAACGGTACTTGAGAGCTGTAGTTTTTATTATTACGGAAATGCATATCATTTTATTGCGCACCTCTAAGAATTTAGGTAAACCTGACCCCGAACGTCAGTGGTCTGTTCGACGAGATTTTCCTAATATTGTCATATTGCGTGGGCATATATCTGGGCTATTGAATTTAGGTCACATCTTTAGCTGGTTCGAGGCCAAACTAATAAGCAGTGTCGTCTTTCCAGACTGCCCACTCCTGAAACGCGAGTAAAATCATTTAAGCCAGGCAAACGTTACGTGAGGAAACATAACTACATAGCAGCGAGCATAGCGTTGAAAATTTGTAAATCTGGCGACATTGACACAGAGACGATCGCTGAGGTGCGATCTGGAACAACAAGTACATCATTTTGAAAAGGGGTTGCGTGTTTGACCTGGTCCGACAATGCCGTCGATATAAATTGCTTTCTATGGTTTTAGTCAGGCTTCAGCCGGCCGTCTGGCTCTGTTTCTGATTATGTTTTTTTCATCCCTCCGCCAGCTGGCATTCTAGAACTTATGTTTGGGGAGACAGTGGGCGCACAATCACGTTTCATCTTCCTAAATCATTTAAACAAATCAGCGTTGCACTCGGAGACGGTGCAGCGCTTCTTGGTCTTCTTGGTCTTCGCTCCCTCACAATCGAAACCGGCGTAGCACGCCCCGAGTGTCATTAGATGGCCGATTTGCCAATTGCTACCGGAGGACTTACTCGCTTACTCACCTACTTACCTACCATTACTTATGTGCATACTTGTCATAGGTATAAAAACAACGATGTCAGTGGTGTGGTCTCTCGGGGGTAACCGTCAATTGGTGGTAATGATCGACCGCAGCTTTGGCTTTGCTGGAATAGACCCTGTTGACGTCAAACAGTTTTTATAACGTTTTCATGTTGAGATAACATAGACGAAAAGTTAATGTACGGTATCGCAACGACCGGGTAAATGCCCGAGAATGACAGTACACATTTTCGCACATGAGGTCATAAAAGCGAACTGCTCGAAAAAGTGGCGAGCAAGTAATGCAGCATGGTCATACCTCCAGATCTCGCAGCGTCGACTATTGGGTTGTAAGCTCAAGGAAATTTGACATAACACTTGACCGTAACGACGGATCTGCCGACACATGAGCGGCGGACACTAAGTAAATGCCTGTCGCATGATTTTCCGAGTCTAGCCCAACTTTGACAAGTAGTCACGACACTAGGAAAGCGTTTTCTGGCGCAGCCAGTCATTAATGAACGCTAGATCCTCATTCAAGTACTGGCGTTTCTTCCCACTACCGACCAATCTCGCGTCCTTCAGCCGGCTTCAAAACGCTCCTCATGTATCGGCGCAGTCCCCACACACCACCGCCGCCCGCCCTGAGGTATTCCTCCGCGCACCTGACCCGCTTGCTCCCCTCCAGCCGAACTCGCGGCGCCGCTCCGATGTTAGGTCTCGACCCTGCCCTGCCCCAGCCGCTGCGCCCCAGCCTCCTCCTCCAGCACGTCTTCCGTCACGCTCTGGTCGGCTTCCAGGTCCCTGCGCAGCCGGCGACCGATCAGCTCGTGCAGCAGCTCCGGCCGCCAGCCCATGGGCTCGGCCACCTTGACAAGCAGATCGGCGGCGGTCAGCCGGTGGCCGGCCGGCAGCTGGCGCGCCGCCACCGCCGACTTCCCCAGCTTGAGCCAGCAGGCGTGCTCGACTGGCAGCACCACCTTCTCGGGCGATCCCAGCGCCAGCTCCAGCCGCCGCACGTCCGTCACCAGCTGGGCCAGCTGCGTCGGCTCCAGCGAGCTGCCGTGGTCCGAGCCGCGCCAGCTGCGGTCCAGCGTCAGATGACGCTCCACGATCTGAGGCGTGGACGCGCGTCAGCGGGCAGGGACGCGCGTCAGCTGGTGAGGACGCGCGTCAGCTGGTGAGGACGCGCGTCAGCGGGCAGGGACGCGCGTCAGCTGGTGAGGACGCGCGTCAAGGGGACGGGACGCAAGCGGTGCCGGCAAGGCGTGGAGGTGGTACCGTCACCACAGAGCGCAGGGCGAGGCGTGGAGGTGGCGCCATCACCACAGAGCACAGGGTCAGGCGCGGGAGTGGCGCCTCTACCACAGGACACGGGGCGAGGCGTGGAGGTGGCGCCGTCACCACAGGGCACAGGCTGAGGCGCAAGGGTGGCGCCGTCACTACAGGGCACATGGAGACCACGCACACGGTGATAGCCGTGTTATTAAGATCTTATGAAGTGGTGGAGAGAAGATCATATTTTTTCATTGCAGCATCTATTTTTTCGCAGCATCATATGGCAAGAGGAAACGTTCTTCTCTCCCTCTGCATAGGTAAAACGCTGCAGTTAAACGCTTGATGAGGAAAACCTTTTGTATGAGAGGTGGGTCAAAAGTACACGCATTGGGCTTTGCGTGATCAAGCATGCAACTCAAAGCACAAAGATTTGGTGAGAACGATCTGAAATAGAGTCCGCACGCTGATGAAGACTTGTAAAGTTGACCTGTAATGCAGTTATAAATACATCACTTAGGAATGGGACCTTGCACTGTTCCAAACAGCCATCTTTCTATCCGGGCACAACAAAATTATTGTCTGGCGCTCGACCCGGCTATCGTAAAAGGCTTTCATCGTGATCAGCGCGGAACGCCGTTTCTGGCAAACCACTCCGGGTCATGGAAAACAGCGATATTTCCCTCCTTGTCTTGTTATTCCATCAAAAGGTTTTATCACACCTCATGAAAAACTACTTGGACAGCTTTTTTGGTGTGGTGTTGATGCGGTTTGGTTCCCAAACCACTTGGTCGGCCACGTGCAGCAGATTCAGGGGCGTGGGGCTGACGGCTCGCCCCTTCTGTCCGGACAGCAAACATCCCAATCAGTTTTTCAGGGTAGCGCTCTGAGCTGCATCCTTTTCTGCGGTTCGCCAACGACTCGGGCCTTTGCGTGTCGGATGACGTCACTGTCCTCCAAGGCGCAAATGACGCGCGGATCCTGAACAGCGGGAAACAAACGGTTTGAAGCAGCTGATCACCTGGTCTGGTGCTTCTGGCGCTGATCTGGCGCTCAACACCACGCTCCAGTGATCTTGCCATTATGGCATGAAGCCAAACACACAAACGGTTTGAAGCAGCTAATCGCCGGATGATCTGGCGCTTAGCACCATGCTCCAATGACTTTTCCAATACGGTATGAAGCAAAACACACACACGACGCCGACAATAGCATGAAGCCAAACATACAAGCAACGCGGGTGTTAGTGATCGGCGCTCCAGCTACACTACGAGATTTGCAGGCAATCACACTGAGCTTCTGTGGCATAGCAGTTCCTCGCTTCCGATCAGCCAGAAATCTCGGAATCACCAGCGACCGTCACCTCAGCTTTCAAGAACATATCGACGCAATGGCCCACAACTTACTGTAAATTGGAACACTAGCAACGTGTTCTCATGCGTCACATGTGACCCCAAACGCGACTTTAAGGAGCATTATGCAAGCGTCGGTGTTGTCTTTGGTCAGCTACTGCATGTCTATGTACGGCTCCTGTATGTAATATTCAGGGTGAATCGCGTGTACAATACTGTAAGCTTCTGTTCAGGGGTGGTCTCAGGCAGGAGACGCCATGACCACATATCGGACACTTTGAAACAGCCTGGGGGCTGACTGCCAAACAAGTCATGGGCCACTAAATTGTGCAGGCTGTCCACATTATCATTAAAACCGAGCTGCCTGAGATCATGCATCGCATGCTCGTGAAGCGTACAAGTGAAAGGCACGAACACGACACCGCACGTGCCGCACGCCGGGCTCTTCCACAAATCCGCACAGAAGCGGGGAGGCGCCCACCATGGTAGCGGGGCACTGAGTTGTTTAATATGCTTGGCGTTGGCCCTCGCGCGCCGCCTTTTCGATGCCTCGTGAAACAGCTCACACTGTCGGCATTCTTAACTTAACTCTGACTTGTTACTCTTGTCAGGTTTAACATGTGCTATCCGCGTGTTTATATCATGTGAGCGTGTGTTTTTGTACCACTGACAGAATTGTTCTTTTACTATGTACCATGCATGTATCATCTAGCACGACGTGCCTGAATGAAAAGCCACCATGTGGCTCTTATGGCAAAGGTATCATCCCCATCATCATCGTCCGACCAAAATGCATGTTAAAACCCTGCCACCTGAAACCCTAACGTCGCAGCGCTTTATCACGGTTACCCCCGCTCGCCGCCAGGTGGCTATTCGCTCAGGTGTTTACGTGAGACACCGGCCATCAGGCATTACCTGCGTCGCGCGGCCCGGAGGCACAATGCCTTTTGCCCAATATTGCAGTGTTTCTGCTCACTGATGCGCACAGTCTAATTTGTTCTATCGCGTGTAAGTTCATGCCATGGCTTTGTGGCGGTCAGGTGGCCAGCATTGGTCATTGGCGATACGAAATCTTTGGGGCGGCGAAAGACATACCACTGCCCCTGGTAGCCTCCTACCACGCACCGAACATGACTAGAACGACCTCCACCTGCCAACGCTACCTTGGCCCCCATGGCGACGGCGGCCACAGAGATGACGGTGCCTTCCTCGTGGCCGGAGTAGCCGAGCACGGCGCGCGGGAACAGGCGCCGGTACTGCTCCAGCACGCGCAGGTGCACGTCCTGAGGCGGCGTGGGGTACGCCGACGTGCACTGCAGCAGCGCCAGCTGGCTGGTGTGGCGCAGCACCAGGTCATAGACGCGCCGCACCGTCGCCAGACTCTGCATGCCTGCGGCCGAGGACAGGCACGTGACGCTCGCGGAACGTGACGGGAGGAGCGGGGCGGTGACGGGAGTGGAGAAGGGCCCCACTTGTTCTGCAGTAGTAGGAGCTGTGTCGGCCGATTGGTCGGCATGCTTTGTTAGCTTACGCGTCTCACTTTTTTCTAATCGTCACCCGTTAACAAGAAACAGAAGTGTTCCTCCTATCATGCGAACAACGCACAAGAGACATCTGGCCTCTGAATGGCCATCATGCAACGGCGTAGGCTGGCCGTGGCGATGTTATATAATGTTTTAGAAAGTACTCCGAGCGTACCCTTTCCAGAGAAAATATTGGACTCCGCTGCGTCGTACTGCGCGTCACGTCACATCCAGCCAATCGCCGACCTGCGGCGGCGGTTACCTACCAAGTCAATGGCCGTTGTTGTTGTCATTTCTGACCGCGTGATTCTTTTTTGACGTAGTTTGGTATGGAACAGTCCAGTAGACAAAAAGCATTTAATCTCACCAAGTGAACGGTTGTAGGCATTAATAGGATGGTGTGTGTGAATGTTTTTTTTTAAATTATCCGAGCTGTGATATTAACGAGAGAGCAGAGCATGCCTCTGCTGAAACACATGCCGTGCCCTCTGAATCGCAATACATTACAGGTGAATCACGCTGGAGAGGGAGCAAAGGGAACATAACGGGAAACATAAGAGAAAGGAAACACAAGAAACACTGCAGAAAGCTTGCGTCGCTGCCTGTGAACCGCAGACCAGAACCCTAACCCGACCAGGTACCCGCCGTAATGCTGTTACCACACAGCCGAGCACATATGTACGCGCGGGACAGTGAGGTTCACGGGGAGGCCGGACGACTCCTGACCCAGCCTTGCCTGTGACTGGCTGTCAGGTCAACGTCTCTCGAGGAAGGCGAGGGCGCACATGACCTTGAACGAAGAGGATGATACCGCGCATGTGCCAAGGACCCATGACGGTGATAAGCATAACCACATACATCATTAGCCGCAATGACACGAGTAGCACAGTCGTGTGATCGCGCTGGCCGGCGTCCCCGCGCCCGGCTGACGGTGTCCGTCGTCCGTAGCACTATCTCCGCGCGGCGCGGGCGTCCAGGAGGCCGGGGGCCGCACGTGGCCGTGACTGGGTCGGCGCGCGCTCACCGGTGGAGACGACCAGCGGCCGGCCGCGGCTGGCGATTGTCGCCGATCATCGCCAGGTTGTTGGCGTCTCCGGAGCCCACCTTGATGAACGGCACGTCCAGCCGGTGCAGAAACTCGGCCGACACCGGGTCCATCGCCGAACGCCGTGAAGCAGGATGTCCGCCTGGGTAGGAGTGTCCGCACGTCAGTCTGCAGTCGGTGCTGGGCACATCCAGTGGCTAAGGACGTCTGCCTGGATGGGAGTGTTGCACTGTAGCCTGACTGACCGGCTTGGACGCTCAGCGGCTCAGGATGTCCGCCTGGGATGGTGGTGTCGCACGTCAGCCTGATAACCGCGCTGGGACACTCAGCAGCTCGGAATGTCTGTCTTGGTGTGAGTGTCGCACGTCAGCCTGCTGATCGCGCTGGGACGCTCAGCTGCTCAGAGTGGCGCCGGGCGAGCAGCTGCGCGGGACTTGACCGCGATTGGGGCCAGTCAGGTTTGCATATACCACGCGGTCGCGTACAACTCTAACCTGGTAAGGTAGGTACAAACTAGAAAGTGTGTCGGAAGATTAACTTGAACGCAGGTTTCTTGATTGACCTACCCCTAAAAACAAAACGAAGCAAATGTGATCGCAAGGGCTCTCTGTGTCTGCCTTTTGGCACGTGCCAGGGGAGTACCACCCAGCATTTGTCCAGTAAAAGGACCGTAGTCTCTTTCATTCTAAAATTTGGCGGCACGCTAAGAAGTGCAGTGTACCTGATGAGTGCCATCACAAAACATCAAGCTATCGCAGTGGCTCAATGGAGATATCTCCGCCTCTGAACACCGGACAAGCCTCCAGTCCACATCTAATCCAACGTGATTGTTGGGTAGCGGCGTCGGACCAGTGCTGCGACTGGCCTGAACAGGCCGCCGCCACCGCCCGCGATGTCCTATTCCTGCATGCCCTGACCTGTCGAGCGTGCGCCTGCAGCTCCTTGTAGGCCTCCTCGCCGAGCTCCAGGTGGGCCTTGTGCTGGCCATAGGTGGCGCCCCAGGCGTGGGGTCCGCCGTACGGCCGACAGAGGGCGCGCGGCTGAACTTGTCCGGCAGGCTGGACTTCTGCAGCTTCACACAGTCAGCGCCGCTCCTCTGGCACACGTCCGACGTAGTGAGGAGCGCTGGATAGGCCGTGGCCGGGTCCGTGGTAGTGGTGCAGCGAAAGCTGTCACAGTGGCTGTTTATTGGGGTCAAGACGGAGGCGCCGCTACTCGCGGGGAAGAGCTTATACTTCCCAGGAGCCCTGTGTTGCCCCCCCCCCCCCCCCCCCCCCCTCCACCTCTCGAGCCTCACGTTGTTTTCCCTCTTATATCGCAACGATTCCACTGCATTGAAGGCTACCTTTCAAACCGACCGCCCCTAAGCACCAGTTTGCCCCCTTCTCTGGGTTCTGGTCTCTCCCTGGCGTCAAACATCGAAGGTGTCCACGTGTTTAGTGCGTTCTGTTTCATGATCGAGGCCAATCCGTTTTGTTTCCATCCATCGGCATCGGGCTTGCCTCTCAGTTTTCTTGCCACCTAAGCTCAAAGGCGGATCCAGGGGGGGGGGGGGCCGAAGGGATGCCCTCCGCCGCCCTTAGGTCGTGAAACCATATGCCCCCTCCCCCAAAACCGTCGGACGTACGCTCTTACGTGCATGCTACGTGTTATTTCCAACAATTAACTGTGTAGGTTTCTCGTTTTGCTGCTGTTGGACTGTCAAACTATGCCGACAGTCAACGCGCACCCGCGGCTTGCGATGGTTATGGGTCTAACATGAATAGTTCAATTGCTGGTGGGTGGTTAATTACCACTATCACATTAACATTTCGAGAGTGATTTAACCCACTATTCTGTTGACTGGGTCCCCCAGTGACCCGTTAACTTCATCATCAACGACCAGCTTACCAAACACAGATTGTCCTGCTCCTCAACATAGCCCTTCCGCGTGCGACCGCAGCGGCCTGAGCCCCAGACATCCAACCGGGGTCGTGGTGTCGTGCCGGTGTGTGGTCGTTATATATATATATATATATATATATATATATATATATATATATAAGCGTTGACTGTGTGTGGGTGTGGAGTGCCACTTGGTGTATTAAACGGACATTCTATGAAAACGGTTTGCTCCCACACACGCACACAACACACTCAAAAAGTCTAGATCCGCCCTACCAAATCTTTCGACGAACCTTGTTTTCACTGTCCCAAGCAATTCACATCCGAATTCCACAAAATATCATGCGATAATCCGGGTTACAGCAAATAAGGCATGGCTGCTTTAATTTTGACGTTACAGAGCCTGGCCACCCGATCCAAACAATGGTCCAGTGCTCATCGTTGGTGGCCAGCCCGTGCCGCGCAGTTGGCAGCCCACGCGAATGGTCCGGAGAGCGTACCTTGGCCGCGTCGATCAGCTGTTTGGCGATGGCGACGTCGCCTTGGTGGTTCTGGCCGATCTCGGCCACGATGAAGCAGGGCGCGTCGCCACCGATGCACCTCCCGTTGGCAAGGTGGATCGTCGATCCCGACATAGCACAGGGACTGCGAACTGGTCCGGCGGCCAAGACTATGAGGGAGACACTATAATCTGACCATCAGTGGTGTCTTCAAATCGCGTGGAAGAGAAATGGCGCTTCCGATGTTTCCATGAGAGCTATTTGTACGCCCCACGGCCCGTGGAGCCCAGAACGGTAACCTGGCGCACAGGGACAGCTGTGTCAGTGTCGCCGCGCCGGTGAACGGGCTTGAACAGGTGGCCGTGCTGCAACCGATGCTGCAGTTGCGAGGCGCTCGCGAAGTCAAAAGCGGTTGTTTCAAAATGGGACCATTTTGAAGACTCCAGTGTAACTGAATGTGGCAAAGTACATATGAGGAAGGTTAGTCTTGTGGAAACGGCCATGGTTGAACTGGGAGTTGCAGTCGAATAAGTCGTCGTTCAGATGAGCATAGCTAAGTGCACATTTTCATGTTCTCAAGCCTTCGAACTACAAAACAAACATATTAGACAAAAATTTATTGCTGCAGTGTTCAAAAAACTATAAGTAAAGCATATCAAACTTAACAACATATAAAAATAAAACCAGCAACCAGCCCCATATCCGAGCGACGCGGACGTTCAACGCGCTACTGGGGGGTAGGAGGGGGCCGTGGAGAATGCGGCTAGTAGACATGTGAAATGATATAAATAACAGACAACTCATGTTCGTCTATATAGGGTCCATCGTTACTTCGAACAGCTCAGCCTCCTCCTCCGTGCCAGCCAGGGCCTCATGCTTGAAGAAGGACGCGTGCAGCATGATGACAAAGAACGAGGCGCCGATGACCCAGAACAGGGCGGAGCTGGCCCCGACGATGAGAAAGAGCGGGATGCTGAGCATCGCCACGCCGGCGTACTGCTGTGCCAGCGGCACCTCTCGGCCGGCCAGCACCAGCTTCTTCTCCGCCTGCCGCAGCTTTAGGATGTGGCAGCCACCGGCCAGCGCAGCCATCGCGATCAGCAGCAGCGGCGACGTCAGCAGGCAGTAGACGAACAGACCGATGAACACGAACACGTAGTTGCTCTGGAAGTGGTCGATGTTCTTCACCAGGCGCTTGGACCAGCGCGGCAGCGAGTCGGGCTTTCCGAAGCTGTTGACGTTGATGAACTGGATCCAGGGCCGGATTTCTGGCGCCTGCTAGCAATCCACTCGCGCACGGCCGGGTTCGCCAGCTTGGCCTGCATCTTGCTCAGCACCGTCTTCGGCTGGCTCAGCTCGCCGTCCAACTCGCCGTCAACGGGCTCGGGTACCAGGATGGCGCTCTCCAACTCGGCCAGAGACATCACCGGTCGGCGGCGAGCGACAGACACTTACCGGCAGACGCCTGCGGACGGGAAAACAGCATCACCGGCACTGACAGAGGTGCACAATGGCCGTGGTCTGGCCATCCGACGCTGGCAAATGGAACGTAACTCAATGGTACAGTGGGAAGCAATTTGTAAACTGACATACCGGATCATGGGCTGAAGCTTTCTGTATTTGGTGGAAAAAGCCTTCACTAACTAACTGTAGGTGGTTTTGGCTGTGGATAGACTGTTGCATTTTTCTTGGGATTTACATGAAATGTGTGGAAATATCAGACATCCGCATAATCAAGTGCTTAATGTCTGTGGCTCTAAGACTGGTCTAGGCAGTAGTGTATGATGGACAGCTTGATACTGTGTGTACATAGATTACTTTGTATAGCATCAACCAGCCTGATGCCTTCCAGAGGAGTGATATATTTGTTTGTTTGTTTGTGTTTGCATTGTTTTTTTAATTCACTTTACTTATGACAAAGTTCTCAGGTTCATTATCTCCCTAATCTCCCAACCTGCCAATTGTGGGAGTGAATCAAAAAGTGGGACAGGATGTTTGAGGAGAAAAGAGAATGAACACAAATTTTTAAAGCAGGCATTTTAAGCTGCAGTCAATCTACATTCCCCAGTGTTTTATCTTCTCTACCTCTTTAATGGTGGCATGATTAATTGACATGAAATCTTGGTGCAGTGCTGGAGCTACTGTCTAAGTGTTGCGGTGCTTTCTTGTTTCATCATCTTCAAAGAAAAAGTACTTTCATTAGTATACAGCACAACTGCTGAGCTAGACAAAACATTGGGAACAATGTTGATGTGAAGCAAAAGAAGTGGACACAAGATCAATCATTGCAGAATGCCAATATTTACC